GTCTATCTATTGAACATCTAGGGGAAAAAGGCAAATACAAAGCTAAGGTTTACGTTCCCTTGCCGTTCATTCAATAATAATGTTCAAAGCTTATTTGTATATAAATGTGCATTTTACTATTTTACTATGTTGTTTGTTTATTGCTTCTATTAAGTAATTTGCCACCTTGTGGTCGTGACAATACATGATGATATATTATGTCCCAAATACAATTTAACTGTTTATATTTTTATATCTTTGCAAGTTTGCTTATATATGATACAAAAATTGCAAATATTATTATTTTAGATAAAGATTTAAATTATTCGTTAAATGATATTAATTATTCGCAGTAAATTTGTAAGATAAGTCTTAAGTTCTACATCGAACATTATACACGTGTCAAACAGGTCTTTTTTCAGAGTTTTGTTTTCAACAATGTGTTTACTATAACAATTTGCTAAATCATGTTCTACTCCAAGCTATTAACTATTAAAAAGTGCGTTAATTTTGTTCTCTTAGTAAAAGATGTATTCTGACAGAAAGATAAAAGATTCTTTATTCATTATGCATGATTTAATCATTATGCCTTTTTCAAATTTAAGTACACAGAAAATTCTTACGTCACAACTTTATGTGTTCCTGCCTAGCAATTAGTTTAGTATTACCGTCTGTTACAGCTCTGCAGTGAATGGAATGAGTATTTTCTATATAAAGAATAATTATTATTGTCCATCGTAAATAATTCAACGCGAGTCAATTATATTGACATTTGAAATAAATCAGGTTGCGTGGAATCAATACAACTTTCTATGTGTTGGAAACCAGAAATGATTCACAAACTGACTTGAAAGAAAGTAATCTTACAACGGCGGCACGAGACTAAATGAAAAAGAACATAACAAAGCATTCTTATGGTTTCTTGGAAATCATATGACTGACAGAAATGAGGAAGTTAAACGTTGCTTAAGCATAAAGTTAATTATATCTTCAAAGGAAATGTAAACAAATGATTGAAAGCTTTTTCGAAAACACTTACACTATTCAAATGATATAATATTCGTACGATAAACAAGTCTTATGATTGTTTTAGAAGCCCATGAAAGCCAATCAGTGCATTGTCATGCCACGTGATATTTATGGTACAACTGTTATACAGAAGTTGACCTTTAATGTTAAACATGTTGTCCTTTATAATGTTACAAAGCAGGGCTTGTAAACTAAACATATGATTATGTTTAGTTAAATGGGTGTAAAAGGAATTTATGTACAAATGGACAGAATGTTCTTGTACGGGGAAAACAAACAACGGTATGAAAACCCGAGTCCAGATGATGTCACGCACGGTAAAACACACGGTGTCACGACATCGAGACCTTGTCCCAATGGCGTGTAAGGTTCATCTTCTAACGCGGCTACTCGTCTGACATAGTCGGATTAGCTTACACGTCACGTTTTTAATATACAAACACATAGCCTATGCTTTAAGACAAATATTCTAAGGCAATCTGTTTCAGTAATTCCATAAATAAATGACAGCATTATAAGTCTAGGGGTGTAATATTAGAATATTTACTGAAATTATACTAAGTAAAACTATATTGAAAATTAAAGCCATCTATATGAATCTTCGGATTGATAACACAAACATTTCTAGATGAGATCATTGCAGACAATGCTATTCTATTTAGAGAACTAAATAAGAAATCAAAACTTATTATCGATTTGATTGGACCTGAGCATTAGAACGTCAATGTATGGAGATGTAGTTAGACACGAAAACACCTTAAAATGTGATATAATTGGTTTGATTAACGCCTGGCTAGAATTTTAGATTTATATAATCCACTGAATTTATGAAATCCACTTGACCTGATTGTTGAACTACGTGTCTTCTCAGACTTTGCAGAACTGCAGCCTGGTATGGCTTTATAATCGTGGTGACATTGGCTCATGCTCATGCTCATTATTAAAGCCAATTGTGCTCAAAGAGTAATAAAATGTGGTCGAGGTATAATTGAACATAGCGGAATATTTTAGAGGACACATGTTTGACAATTAGTTCAGCAAGACGATTGATCTTGTATCATATGTCAAATTTAAAACCATACATGCTACACATGACCTGTTGCGGATAGGTGACTCCGAATATAATAGGGGTTAGCGATATTTGTACCTTTTAATCGAAATCGAACATAAGAAATTCATGTCTGAAACCTATATTTAAAATCCATATGAGACAAGTTAGAAGGGGTCTTTTGGTCCGACATATCACGCAAACATGTTTAGGTGACCAAACTGTGTTTTTAATACTAGTATTTGATTGTACATTACTCAGACCGACGGGGGATGGTAAAGTTAAAGCAGTTGAAATCACACAAAGCTAGTATTTACTTGTACATACCTACCAACTATTTCAAACATCACGCCCCTTTTCATATGGATATAAGACTGAACATGTACAAAACGAATAGAATAGAAAACAGATTGTTTTTTAAAATGCCAATACTGTTCCATCATCAGCATTGTTTCTCTCAAAGTAACAGTTTCAAAATCTATTTATTTATTGTCATCATTTTTTCGTTTGTTTTGTTATGAAAAGGTTTACCCATGTCATGTTTTGTTGACCGTACAGAAGCAAAACAAAAATCAAAAACATTCACATCTGACTTAATGACCACGCCTACCACCTAATGTCTGCCCAAGTACATGTGCGGTGCCCTACTGGGTAACATTCAAATGCAGCTGGACATTTGTGGAGGCCACATTCCGTTGCTCTCCCTTATTAAACGCCTGTTTCATATTTTGTAGTAATGTAAATTAAATGCAACAGGGATAATTTATTAATTTTGAATTGGTATGATTAATGTTTGAATATAAATATTATTTAACAAAGAATGTTTGATATCAAAAACATTGGCTTGATTGAAAAACAGTTCTAAAGCTTGACACTTAATCAAATCTCTTTGCAACTTTAACGATTTGATAAAGGAGAAAAGGGGAAATATTTAAAGACATAGTTTGGAATTGATGGATTATGAGTATGCAATTTTTACCAGAAGAAGTTTTGTTGTAAAGCATTATTGATGAAATGTCATAAAACTTTACAATCCATCCATCAAATTACACTGTTTTTCTTCCATCTTTCGAGTACACATAAAAATGGACGAATAAAAAAACGTATGCTACAGTAAAGATGTTACGTCTCCGTAATGTGCCAGTTTTGTTTTATATCATCGCAAGAGATCTAAAATGCATGATGATAAATCAAACATGGCCTAAAGAACGTGTGTTTTGTTTTACGTTTTATTTCCCGATACAGATTGTGTGTTTTTTCATCTTTGAACATTTTATCCGATGTTAGCTCAGTTTTTAATCAAAATGATAATGAATTTTATAATAACAAAAGAGGGTTTGATATAGTAGGAAAAAATACGACAATGAGCCACTTATAATGATGATGCTATTTTTAGACATACATGTATAATAATCTATCAAAGTTACTCATAAAGTACACATTAAACTTTATGCATCATATAGAAAACTTGCTGTTTGATCGTATGAAAATTGAAAACGAATACACGCAATACGTGAAGTCAATACGAGAGACAATATTTCATTATACAGAAAACAATATGGGGTAATGGAATGACAAAACAACGTGCTTTTTTCAATAATATTAACTTCAAAAGGGGTTTTAGATTTATGACATATGATATATAAATCATCTTAACACATACACGGCCCGTAATAATCGCATTAAAACTAACCATGGCCATAAACAATGTGTAAATGGGTTACCTTTTAACTTCGTATTTGTTTTGTTGAAGTTTGCATTGATCTTCGGATTAGGTTCGCGTGTTTTGACCAGATATGGCCAGGGTTTATGATCCTTTGTCAATAGAGCAGAAGTACCGCCACACTAATCAAAGTATAAGAATATTTGATTTATCAGATTGTATACGACCTTGTAATTAGATCCACTGTGTTTTTATACGTATTAAGTCATTGTGATAATATATGTCTTTTTTTTTCTTCTTTTTTTTTGGTGCGTTCAAAGACCGTAAAGAAAAAACTGTAAAGCATTTGGTATTGCTTCTTGCATACTCTTTCGTAAAATTCGTACGTAGAAAATGCTATGATTTGTGCTGTTTAATTGTCGGTTCATGACCGTCATTTGTGTTCTTTGATAGTACGTAAGTCAACACATTAAAATTGTGTAGTTTCTTTGCTCAGATATCACGTGATACTTAGTCTAAAAATAGAGACAACGTAAGTTAAGGTATTTACTTTTTGTACAGCATGAGTAATTAAGGAAACATTAATTCAAAACATGTTCTTTAGGACAGATAGACCTTTGAATCCATTGCAACACGAGCATCAAAAACCCCAACCCAGAAACATAGAAGTTTTAAACTATTAATTACTTGTGAAGTTTTAATTGAACCGTACTGAATAATTAGTGCTCGTTTTGAAATTACATGTTGAAGTAATCAATTTAAACTTAATACTTAAAACTAATGAGAAAAAATGTCTTGTGAAGATATTTTGCTCATGTAGTGTTTGATAGCCGAACGTTTGTGAGAATTTGCACTACATAATAGCAGATCGGGAGCAATTTAGTTCCTAATGTTTCATCATTAATACTGATAAAATTCCCAAGTTGTAAGATCTCAGGTGAATGATACTACAAATTAATTATGTAACACATAACCGACATTTATTTCAACCGTATTCTGTAACAAGGTGCAACTAATTGGTTGAATTAACGTTTGCTATCAATAGTTATTGTCCATAATTAATAACAAAAAACATAGCATTTATACCATTTAAAAATGCATGATATAGGAAAAAAACCTAGACTTAATCATCTTAGTTAAAAGAGTCATTTTATTAACAACTATATAGCAGTCATATTCAGCAAATAAGTGAGTATATCGTGTTACATATTGTAGAAATAACATTAGATGGGTCTAGTTCATTTGTGAGCATTTCTTAAGAAAAACATCTTTATTTTTCAGGTCCAAATTCCGCACAAAGACGGCGAGGTCGACAAACCTATAGTCGCTACCAGACTTTAGAACTGGAAAAAGAATTTCAATTTAATCACTACCTCACTAGAAAAAGGAGAATAGAAGTGGCACACTCTCTTTGCCTGACTGAAAGACAAATAAAAATATGGTTTCAAAATCGCAGAATGAAAATGAAGAAAGAAAGACAAGCTATAAAAGAACTTAATGATAATACCACACCAAAAGCTAAAAACAGTGACAGTAAAGGCTCTGACAAGGGTGATGATGACAAGAGTATAGAAAGTGACGATTCATCGTAAAACAGCACTGGGTCTCGGGGAGAAAACAATAACCGTCAGTCATAAAACACACCGTTAGTAGTGGATAGTTTCGTGAGTGAAGATGTCGGCGTTAACAGTGAATAGTTTCATTGGGAAAAAAACCCAGCTGAGCAGTAGATTCGAGAAGTGAAAAATGAAAAACAAAACGAGAAGTAGTTTTTAAAATAGAAAAAAAGTATATACCCTCGATGACGAGAAGAAAATCTATGTCAATTGTGACTGGTTTTTTTAATTACTCTCACGTGAAAAACGTGCGGAAAACTAAAGAATGGGTTTTGGTGGAGTTATGATATATTTGAACGATATTTGACAGATACAACGGTGGTTTTCTGGGTTCTTTTTATACTGTGCACTGGAATAAGTAAGGGTAAAATATATAATAACCATGACCCCGTATTCATTACACATCTTTTACACTTGTCCGTGATATTTAGTTCTGTTTAAAGTTTGTGTTCATACATATTTATGATCACATAGTCATGACATAGTTCAAAAATAGTTGTATCTCTTTTTTTTCTTATTCTTTTTATATTGACATGCGCACTGATACGATTGCACAAGATCGTATCCTCCAAGTTTATACCTAACACGAGAATTATGTTTATGTTTGGCCGACGTTTCAGCCAGATTTAAACTTTGTATAGTATAAGATCTTTTTTTCTTTTCATTTTTACAAAACTGTGTGCACAATTATGTTCTTATTCTTGGTTGCTAATCTGAACCGTTTTTGCCTACAAAGTAGCAAGTCGCCCTTCCCTAGTTTTGAAACTGATAATGCAAAGTTTTGCTTACGTGTTATTTTTCAGTAAAGCGATGTTTTATATAGATATAAATATGAAATATTGAAAGAAGCTTCACTTCTTATTTGATGAAACTGAAAGTTCCAAACATTTTTTTGTGATTTTCACCCTATTGAATTGAGAAGTATGATATTTTCGTAATGCTCTGTTCATGTGCTTTCGTTTTCTTTCTCTTAATTAAAAGTAAATTAATTTGTTTTATTTTGTAGAATAAACACATCGCTCAGTCTTTATGATTCAGTCAAAGAGAGTCAATGTATTCATTGAAAGCGAAACGGAGCGTCAGCTGTTTCATAATGTAAAACCTGGCAGCGTTCTCTTTTTCCAGGGTTTATAATTTTGAAAATAAATATATCTGAAAATTTGTAACGAGTGCTTAGGTCTTGTAGTATTGAATGATTCTCATAAATGGAATTGTAATATCTTAAATGAAACTAAAACGTGTGATTTCTTTTTTTCAAAATCGAAACGACCGCCAAAATGACGTCACATTGAAAACATTGACGTAATTTATTACTTCCCGACAGCAAAAGTATTTTTTAAAGCGTTATAAAAAGAGGAATGTTTTATATACATGTTCAAAATCGCAATATAGTATTTGGAAAAAGGGTTCACGAAATAATCTTAATTGAGTTAAAAACAGGAAAGTTTATATAAATGGACATGTTTTATAATCATGTTCAAAGTTGCAATATAGCATTTTGAAAAGAAAACATTTCACGAGCTATTGTAGATTTAATGATTTTTTTTTTATTTTTGATTTTTTATTGATTTTTTTTTGCCACATAAACCCACAATATTATCAACTTAAACATGCAGATCAACCAAGGATGAGCAAATAATTTTGCGCACAGACTATACTTTCAAAAGTGCTACTAATTTCTTTTTTGTGCTAACCACTGCCGCTTCTCCAAGCTTTTCGATCTCATTTACAAGCAATATTATCGTGTCATAATCTTGAAAATCTATTTATAGAAAATCACATTTCAAAATTTATCAAACAGTTTGCTTTATTACTTCCCTTTAATAATGTAAGAAGAAGAAAAATAAAGTTCAAAGACACCAAAATAGCATCAGAAAAAGGTGAAATAAAAACTCAAGTTTTTTCTTTCCTCACGATTTTGAAGTATGACTTTAATTTAGATGCTATTTTTATCAATATTTTATGAAAGAGTCCTTTATTAAATACTTAATACTTTTAAAAATGTTTTATACAGCTATTTCATGAAGGAATGAACGCACCAATATTATTCTTTAGTAGTCCGAGTAAATTTTTTGGCAAAACCGTTTTTATTATGAAATCTATGATATTAGGAATTTAGGAAATTGTTTTATTACTATTTTCATTTTTTTTTCACATATACAAAATATTTGTTTGATTTGGCATACATCACTTCCTGTTTACAAACATGCAGTTCTTCGTCTTACATGTATTCTTTGCATTCCCATTTCTGAGCTTATGTTGTATATATAGTCATTTCCGGACAAAAAGTTTGAAATTCTGTCCGGATGTAAAACATTCAAGTGCAATATGTAACATGTATAGCATTCTATATGTCACGTGATTTACTCTAGTTAAAACATTACGTAATTGAAATTGATGTCGTTTTCGCGGGAAATTGATCGGTGTCCTGTGCTTAAATTGAAATTGTCGGAATCACTTTTCAATCTTTGCAAACTCTCACTGTATGTAACAGTTTTATCGATGACTTGTCGAGTTATGTAAGAAACAATAATAGTATATTAGTATTTTATCAACAGCCATTACTGTGTCTATTTTATAATTAACTGACCAAAATATGTCCAATATTAATCATTGTATTGCTCTTCAAAAATATGGTTGTAACTCAATGAAATTGTTTACTATTATTAATTTTTCCAACTTCTTTTCTAATCTAAAGTATATAATATTATGATTTAGCTTCATCTCAAGATAGACCTGCCAGTTTTTTCTTATTCTATTCTGTTCTATTCTGTAAAGCTCCGCTTTAATCTGCTTGAGCTAATGTCAAAGGTATGGACAATCTTTGTCTTTCATTCTTTATCAAATATGACACCTTTTAGCATTGCTTACTACTGAAGGAGTAAGGCAGAGACTTTATATGTTAATATATCTAAAAATAAGCAAAGCTTCTTAATATTATCATTTATCAAAATGAGCAAAGCAAGACAAGATATATTGCAATGGTCTCTCCAGTTAAGTCATTGCGACTAAGCCACTGCCATTCAGACAAGGCCAATGGTGTTTGAAAATAATTACACCGTTCAGATATAACGCTTTGTAATTCTTAAACTAACCGCCTGAATGACAAAATTCTCGTTTTTTCCCTTAATTATTCAGTTCAAATGATTGCATTTCATTTTTGAATTTTAAAGATGATGGCACAGTACAGATTAGATTTGTTTATATAAGAAAGTCGCAATGGAATGATGGCTTTCAAAATATTCTAAATGTACATGTATAAGTACATTTGTTGATTATATATGTATTAAAAAAGACAGTTGCTATAAATAGCACACCGTAAATATACTATGTTTGTTAAATTGACAGACATATTTAATTAAATGACGGTTTTATTAGAATATGCTACAGAAAGAAAATAATAAGGAGACTTGTAAGAAATATAAAACGGGTATAGATATAGTGTTGTATATTTGTTTGAATAGATGATTGATTACTACTGTTTATTGAAGAAGAAAAAACAACAACATATATTTCAAAATATTTTATATTCCTCGATATTTCTATGTATTTCTTCACATTTGTAAAATAGAAGAAACAATATTCAAAAGTGAGTTCTCGAGAAACTAAAATGAAATACGATAAGTAAAATAAACTAAAATATAAGAAATAAGAAATACTTAGCACGGTTAACTTCTTGAAAATTATATCGATTTCTAAGATTTAAATGTATCGATTTTTTAGATTTGAATATATAAATTTCTTAGATTTGAATGTATTATTTTTGTTGATTATTTTCGTTTCGTTTTCAGGCTATTTCTTATTGACACAAAATCATATTATATTTAACATTTTTAGTTTTTAAACGGTTAGTAATCAATCAGTGTTTCAATCTAGACCTTTTATTATTTTTCTCTCTTTGCTATGTTTTATGAAAATATGTGATGGTATATAAATAGAGGGTAAATATAATTATACAAAGAAAAATCAAGGAGATGATTTAATTGGTAGAAAATGTACCAAACAGCTGTGCAAATATTGATATGTTTTCATACGATTGTCTTACTTTTTTGTCTTGTAAAATATTGATTTAATTTCAAATACAATTTATAACCTGTTACATAGCCGATATATTTGCTTATCATATGTATAGATTATTCCGAATCAATTCCTGGCTTCCATGAGGAAAATCAATGGTTTTCTTGTAAAATTACCATTTGTCTTAAAGCGATTATCGACTGTTGGTTTTGATAAACAGTTACTGTAGCAATATTGAAGAAAGATATAAATTACGTTTTTGTTTCAAAAAACTTATTTCATTTTCTAATTGTCTTTCCTAAAAATAGATATATCTTTTTTAACTTACAGTTGGTAAATTATTGTCTCAGTAAATTGATGAAGCCATTTAGATTACGATTTATCTTTGATTTTTCTTTTATCAATTTCTTTCTTTCTGTTTTTACACTGTGAATATCGAGCATAATTTTACAATGGTACACAGCTTTTAATTTCTATAATATGATGTCAACTGACTTACGATTCTTGTAACTTTCACTCTTACAATATGAAAATGGCTTACACGTTTATTTTATTTTGAATTTGTTTTATAATTTGGGTATTTATGCCAGTATGTGGTTCAACTTTTATGCTCTTATGTTTGCTCTTACAAATAAAACTGTTAACTTAGATAAATATGCAAGATGTTATTTATTTTAAAAAAATATTCTCAACCAAAACATAACGTGATCTTGGGTTTTTTTAACAAGATTTGGTTCTTCAAAAATACATATTATACTCGTCTTCAAATAGGGATAAAAAAAGAGTTTCCTTTCCCTTTTAAAAAAACTTAGTTTTACTGAAAAAGAAATGCAGTAAATATTACAATTTTACTTTTTAATCAATTGCTTATTATCTGTATTAACCAACGTAACATATAAATTAAGAACACGTTTTCAACAAATTAGACTGTTGTTTTAAACCTTAAAAAGTTTTCTTAAGTATATTAGGCTAAATTTAATTAGTTTTTTTTTTCTGATCTTGAGCGATAATTATAACATAGTGAGATGAATGTTCGAATGTTTATATATATAAATATATTGTTGTCTATATATACATGTCAGTTGTAAACTACTGTATAATGTGTCTCCTATTTGGTTGTTATTTGTATTTTGTGCTAACTGAACGAAACGAGAATTGAGTAATGTTATTGACTTGTGTAGAAATAAAGTAAAAGTGTTACATAAGTTTCTTGCTCTTTTTTTTCTCTCGCTCTTACAAATCTATGTGTAATTGTGTACTTTAAAGTGAATTGGTCTATCATGGCAGGTCTGTAATACAATAAATAATTATGTTGATATTATTTAGTATCAAATAAATTTAGCAACACGCCTCGAACTAATGATAAATGGATGTTGTTGGTAAGTTTAGGATACATTACCGTATCTTACATAATATAGCAGATAATAAGATGTTCTAGAATAAAACATATTTATTCAACATAAAAATGTTCATAGTAAATACTTTAGAACTTTATTAATATATTATTTTCATGCAATATTTTATAAGAAAAAAAATTCAAATGATACATTTCTACATTTCTAAAGTTTTCAATAATATTCGAAATTCTTTTGATAAAGGTGCCCATTGTAGACCAATCCACTTTAATTTAACTTCATGATGGAATGAATAGCCAATGATGTGATGAGAAGCAACGAAGATAGCTATAAATCAATAAATCGATGTCATCTATTGAAAATCGATAATTGCAATCATCGATATTTATAATCAAAAGGAATACCGTTTTGGCACAATG